AATTCTAACATCACACCTCTAAAACGTCGCAAAGTGGTTTCTCAAGAAATTTTAGTTGATCCTGTATCTTTAAGCTGCCAAAGCTCCTCGGATACCGTAGTTTTTAAACTGTCGAAGTATACGAGTAGGAACACTCTTCCGACTATTAATAGAACCTGTAATTATTTTATCAAGATACAGCTAGAAGAACCAGAAAATGATCCTGTAGGGATTACTTTAAATACCTCTGATCTAACAAAATGTGAATGGTGTAATGTCCGAAAATTACCAGTAGTGCTTCTTCAGACTACACTGGCAGTTTATCAGAAGCTGAGCATGCAACTGCAGATGAACATGGAGGATAAAGTTTGGAATGACTGTAAAGGAGTAAATAAGTTAACAAATTTGGAAGAACAATACATAATTCTAATTTTTCAAAATGGCCTTGATCCTCAGGCAAATATGCTATTTGAAAATATTATTACTGACATTGGTATAAAGAATAATGTGTCAAATTTTTTTGCGAAAATTCCCTTTGATGAAGCCAATAGCAGACTTGTTGCCTGTACAAGAACCTATGAAGAGAGCATCAAAGGAAGTTGTGTGCAAAAAGAAAACAAAATTAAAAATGTGGCCCTTGAATCTAAAATACAACTTAAAAACAAACAAGAATTCCAATTTTTTGATGATGAGGAAGAAACTGGAGAGAGCCATACCATCTTCATGGGTCCTGTAGAAAAAATTGATAGTATATCCACCACCTCCAGCTAAGGGAGGCATCTCCGTTACTAATGAGGACCTGCATTGTCTAAGTGAAGGAGAATTTTTAAATGATGTTATTATAGACTTTTATTTGAAGTATTTGGTGCTTGAAAAATTGAAGAAAGAAGAAGCTGACCGAATTCATATATTCAGTTCTTTTTTCTATAAACGCCTTAATCAAAGGGAGAGGAGAAATCTTCATGAAACAACTAATCTATCAATACAGCAGAAGCGACATGGAAGAGTAAAAACATGGACCCGGCATGTAGATATTTTTGAGAAGGATTTTATTTTTGTACCCCTTAATGAAGCTGCACACTGGTTTTTGGCCGTTGTTTGTTTCCCTGGTTTGGAAAAACCAAAGTATGAACCTAATCCTCATTACCATGAAAATACAGTCACGCAAAAAAGTTCACCTGTAGAGGACAGTTGTATTTCTTCTCCTTCAGCCAGTGAAATGGACAGTTGTTCACAAAACTCTGCTGCCAAGCCTGTAATTAAGAAGATGCTAAACAGAAAGCATTGCATAGCTGTAATTGATTCAAATAATGAACAGGAAGAAAGTGACCCTCGTTGTCGGAGAAACATAAGCAGTGTGAAATGTAGTCTGAAAAAAATAAATCATACTGCAAGTGAAAATGAAGAATCGAATAAAGGAGAACCTGCATGCCAGCAATTTGTTGATAGGACTGAAAGTGAGGATGGCCTACAGAATGAATATTTAAGTTCTATGCACCATACAGATGGTTTAAGCAAAATAAGACTAAACTACAGTGATGAATCAGCTGAAGGTAGTAAAATGCTTGAAGATGAACTCATCGACTTCTCAGAAGATCAGGATAACCAGGATGATAGCAGCGATGGTGGACTCCTTGCTGATGACAACTGCAGTTCAGAAATAGGACAGTGGCATTTAAAGCCTACTATCTGTAAACAACCTTGTATCCTACTGATGGACTCACTCAGAGGCCCTTCTCGATCAAATGTTGTCAAAATTCTAAGAGAGTATTTAGAGGTGGAATGGGAAGTTAAAAAAGGAAGCAAAAGAAGTTTTTCCAAAGATGTTATGAAAGGCTCTAATCCAAAAGTACCACAACAAAACAACTTCAGTGACTGTGGCGTATATGTATTGCAGTATGTAGAGAGCTTTTTTGAGAATCCAATTCTCAATTTTGAATTACCGATGAATCTGGCAAACTGGTTTCCTCCCCCAAGAATGAGAACAAAAAGAGAAGAAATCTGAAACATAATTCTGAAGCTACAGGAAGATCAGAGCAAAGAGAAGAAGCAGCATAAGGACACTTACTCAACAGAAACGTCTTTAGGTGAAGGAGCAGAGCAGTGCATCAACAGCATCTCAGATTGACGTTTCCGATGCTTGTCAGTATTGCCTTCAGGAACTGAGTGACTGTCAACTTTGGGTATAGACAGTAAAGAACTGAAGTGCTCACTACTCAGAGTGATTTCGAAATGTTAATGATTGTATAAATGTCATATAATTAATTTCCAGTGGAGTATGTATTAAGTAAAAGTCTGTAAATATGTTAATGAGGCCAATTTTTCCAGCATTTATAATTATTTTTTTCACTTGTTAGGAAGCTTTTGTTATGTATTTTCTGTTAATAGTACTTAAAACTGCAACTTCTAAACACAAATAAATAAAAAGAAAATATTTATAGGAGGAAAAAATAAATAAATAAATAAAGATGAGGGGTAATAAAGGTACAAAAGTGCTATGAGAAAAGAGGAGGAAGGAAACCAGCAAAATGGCAATGAACATTTACCAAAAACTTCCAACAGAGTCAATGAAAAGTATAGCAAAAACTTTCCTGAATTTAAAATGTACCTGAATGGCTTCCCAGATAGCTTAGTGGTAAAGAATCTGCCTGCCAACGCAGGAGACACAGGTTCCATACTTGATCCAGGAAGATCTCACAGGCCGTGGAGCAACGAAGCCCATGTGCCACTTCTATCAAGCCTGTGCTCTAGAACCCAGGAGCTCAACTACTGAAGCCCGTGCACCCTGGGGCCTGTGCTCTGCAACAAGAGTGTGTGTGCAATGAGAAGCAACCACAAAAAGAAGTCCATGCACCTCAACTAGAGAAAAGCCCATGCAGCAACGAAGACCCAGCATGGCATAAATAAATAAATAAAATTATATATATCATATATATAATATATAAAATATACATTATAATTATATATATTATATATATATATAAAAGACAGCATGGCTTTAAAAATATATATATTGAAGCAGCAGCTTCTCAGATTCATGAGCTTGGGCAGGAGATGTGAGGAGAACAGACCAGTCTGCATCAGAGGAGACTACTTGGAGGCATCACAGGGGTGACTGCTGCCCCAGGGAGCAGAACTCAGACTAATAGGAGGACTCAGCTCCTTCTGGACGCAGGACCCAAGATTAACAAATCCTGAGAAGAGTCACAACAGAGTTTTGGGGCTGGGACAAAAGGCTGTTCAGGAAAAGTAAAAAATAAATGAGAATTACCAGGAAAACTCTGAGAAAGAAGCACAATTGGAGAGTCAAAGTCAGCAGGCATTATGAGGGACCAGGAAGTGGTAACAATTCAAACAGCACTGCATGTGGACGGACTGAGACCAATGAACCACAGGACAGGACAAGAGCCCAGCGACTCAAGTACATACAAAACATTTAATATTATAGTGAAAGTAGGATTTCAAACAAGTGGGGAAATGTGAGTTACTCAGAAACTGGTGGCGGGTGGGGAGGATATCTGAATTGCCACCTGGGGTTAAAAAACAAAGTTTGGTTCCTATTTCATAACCTACAAGTGTGATAAAATTCCAAATGGATCATGCATTTAGATATGAAAAAAGGAAACCATAACTGTTTTAGAAGAAATCATGGCAGAATAATCTTTCATCTAGGAGTGGAAAAAGCTTTCATCTGGAACAAAACCCCCAGAAAGGATTAAAAACAAGAACATAAGTTAGACTACATTAAAAAAAAATGTGTATGACCAAAAGCCACCATAGGCAAAGTAAAAGAACAAATGAAAAACTGTAGGAAAATATTTGCAATTTATGTCTCAGAAAAGGTCTAACTTCCATTATATATAATGAGCTCATACAGATCAATAAGAAAAAGATTATAAACCCAATAAACCAATGAGCAGAGAACTGAAGAAAAGGAAAAGACATAATTCAAACATGTGAAAAGACGCACAACCTCCTAACACGTAAAATATGAAGTAAAATGATACCTATCAGACTGGCAAAGATTACAGTTCACTGACACTGCTGGAGAAGGTCTGGAGAAGGACACCCTCTCAGCCTTTGCTGGGCGGGTGTGAACTGCTACTGTCTGATGGAGCCCAACTAACATCTTCCCAAACTAGACAGGCACATGTGTCTAAGTTGTGTCTGACTCTTGTGACCCCATGGGCTACAGCCTGCCAGGCCCCTCTGTCCACGGGATTTCCGAGGCAAGAATACTGGAGTGGGTAGTCATTCCCTTCTCCAGGGGATCTTCCCAACCCAGGGAACGAACCTGTGTCTCCTGCATTGGCAGGCAGATTCTTTACTGCTGAGCCACCAGGGAAGCCAGAAATGCACATACCTTTGGTCAGAACAAACCCCTCTCTGGGCATTTACATTTATACTTTAATTCACACACTATAGCATGTACAAGTTAATTCACTGTAGCATTATTTGTAAGGGCAAAAGATCGGGAAAAACCTAAAATGTCCATTGGCACACTGGGCACAGTGGGAGGCAGTCATGCATTAAGGCTGAGAATGAGGGTGCTAGCTGCATACTGATCTGCAAAGGGCTCCAAGCTCACTCCCCCAACTCCGGTCTTCAAACAGCCTCCCCTTCACCCACCATGCTTGCTACACCTCAGTCTCATGCAGTTCCCCCAAAGGTGGTGGCCCTTCAGATGAATTTTCCTGATTACCTCACAATTACATTAGCGGGAGCGAGTTTCCCAGGGGGCCAAGGACACACTCTTCATGGGCTGCCCCAGCCTGAGACTGAGCAGAACACAGAACACTTGCCTCCCCCAGAGTCACAGACTGACCACACTGCACCCACCCCTTGCGGGCTGAGGGTCCTTATGACCTGTGGTCTCCACTCTCAGTAGATGCAGTAATGTGGTCAGCTGGACGTGGGCCTGGGAGACACACTCCTTCCCTGGGGGACGCTCAGGCACCAAGTAAGAGGACGGGACTGCCGTTCTCATGGCCAGCATCTGGACTGACAGAGCAGCGGCCTACCTGGAGGTGAGTCATCCTGGGAAGTGAGGCCAGAAGGGCTGGATCCCAGGTCCAGCAACTTCCATGTGTCCTGGAGGGAACTGCTGGCAAGTGATGAGGACCTTCGTGTGTGGTGGCCAGTTTCCTCCTGGAATTCTTGAGCCAGGCGTGGCTTTGGGGACTGATTTTCTTTCTGAGGAGCTAATCTGCAAGTCACTGTGGAGCTCCTGTGTTGTCTCTGTGAAAGAGAGTAAAGAGAACTATCCTTGAAAGCCACCCTCTCTCCCTGCCCTCCTGGGGTAATAAGACAGTGAACCTGGCCCAAGGAGAAGCTCTGGACATTCAAACATGGAACATGGGGAATTCCCTGGTGGTCCAGTGGTTAGGACTCCTTACTTTTACTGCCGAGGGCCTGGGTTCAATCCCCGGTCAGGGAACTAAGATCCCATGAGCCATGTAGTGCAGCCAATCTCAACCCCAAAGAAACAGGATCGTAAGGGAGGTGGGACTGGTAATCAGGGCCAATGCCCTGAGGTGAAGACACTCAGGCAGTGGTCACTCTCTGCGACACCAAGTACTCCAGTTCTGGGTGCTTCCCGAGCGGGAATGTGAGCCGCATGAAGAGCTGGTGCTGGTGGGTCCTGCGTACCAGTCCTGCTCCCGCCGTGCAGCCTGGTCGAGCATCCTTTCTGTGGACTGTCTGTGCCAGGTGGGCTTGGCCCTTTCCGGAGCATTCGGAGAAACATTCTTTCTTGGCTTTCCTAGGGTCCTGTTGTGGAAATTTAAGTACAAGAAACTCAGTGTTTGTGGGTCTTTGATGGGCTGTTACTGAGTTCTCAGGGTTTGTGGGGCTTTGATGGGGTGTGTTACTGAGTTTTCCCTCAGGATTAGGAAGAAACATCTTCCCTGCATTTCTGATATTAGGGAGTTGGCTCTGTGATAAGCCGAAAGTGAAGAACGTGCTTGTGTCCACCAGTACGAACTTAACAGGCCTCAAGATGGTGATCCAAGTATGTTCCCAAGCACCTGACAGTCACACAACCTTCCTGTGGTGCCCAGGGAGGGCACCCTGTGCCCCGCTGGGCACAGGGTGAGAGGCCCTGCAGCTCTCCTTTGTGGCACATATTCAATGCACAGCTGAGGCCACTCTGGTCCCCTGCAGCCTGAACACTCACATCTGCCCTCTGAGGGGAGGCCTGTGTTGAAGCAGTTGGGAGGGGGCACCAAGGAGAACCAAAGCCCCGGACTGTGCAGAGGGCCCGGTGCTGAGGGCCACCTGCGGCTGCCACTTCTCCTGCTGAAGTGTCCATTTTGGATTGTGAGCTGAGTAATGCACGCGTATCTTTTGGTTTTTATTTTCAGTATCTGTGTGGCAGTGATAATGGGCAACTTCTCATGTTTGTTGACTGACTCAATGAGTTTCTTCTGCATTGGCTTCTGAATGTTGCATATGTGCATGCTCAGTTGCTTAGTCATGTCCGACTCTTTGCAACTCAACGCTATGGACTGCTGCCCGCCAGGCTCCTCTGTTCATGGGATTCTCCAGGCAAGAATACTGGAGTGGGTTGCCATTTCCTCCTCCAGGGGATCTTCCCAACCCAGGGATGGAACCAGCGTCTCCTGCGTCTCCTGCATTTGCAGGTGGATTCTTTACCACTGAGCCACCTAGGAAGCCCCTTCTGATTGTTACCCATTGCTTATTTTTCTACTGGTTATCCGTCTTTTTCTTCTTGAACTATAGGCATTCTTTTCTGTATGTTCTTCCTGTTTCTTCCTACACAGTACCATTTACTAGTGGAAGTAAAGAGGAACCAAAAAAGAGGACCTCAAGGAGTCTTCCTTTCTCGAATTTTAAGATAGGTTATTGCACTGGATGTAACGAATAGCTTTGTAGTTTGAAAGAGATTGATAAAGTTTAATAAACTACTTAATTTACTAGAAAGAAATGGAAGTCTAGATAAGAGTATATGTGTTTCACCACAGAGGGTAGCAGGCACATTTATTTGATGATTTGGGAGAGATTTCTTCTAATAACACACATTTAGAGACTGAAATGATTAATGCAGATGACTTGAAAGGTACAAGCAGCTCAGATAGGCAGCTACTTCGATGCTTTACTACCACTTTCCACGAATGGCGAAGAGGGAAGGACTCTGAATGTCTGTGTACACATGCACACACATGAGAGGAGTCTGGAACAAAGCCTATCGGGTTCCAGCAGACCCACCCAGGTGAAGCCCAGCTCAGGGTGCCTAGGCCTCAGTGATCCTGCATTTCTTCTTTCTATGCTCTTTCCTTCTTCCCAAATACATCCTCCACAGGCTTTTGTCAGTGGAAGAGTCTGTCAGTGGAAAACACTATGCTTCCTAGGCCCCTTTCAGAGCCAGCCCTTCTCAGTTTCTCAGGCCAGTAATTCCTGGCCTGGCACACTGCCTCCCTAGGCCTCTCTGTTCCCCCGACCCATTCCTGGCTGACCTTGCGCTGGTGACTCAGAACCCCTGCACTTTGCTGAAGACTTCCCTTTGCTGAAGACTTCTTCCTCAAACTCTACATCTAAATGTGCAAGCTCAGACTGAATGCAGGCATGGCAATGGTAAAGGATCATCTCAGATCTAAGTCCATCCATCAAATTTCCACCCACAGCCGCTGCCCAGGCCTCAAACCCTTTAGGGAATCCTGACTCGCATGGCGCCCCCCAACCCCCACCCATTATGATCCAGCCACCATCCCAGCTTCACTCCTCCTCATCAGCCCCTCCTCCCACCCTCACCCACCTGTTTCTCTTACCCAGGATGGAGCTTGTCACTAAGAGCCACATGTCATCTCATGGTGTAACAGGCCATCTATCTGTTACTCAACTCACTATTTATTTTAAATAAACTGAAAAGACAAACTACACACTGTACAAGTCATCCAACAGATAAGGATTAGTATATATAAGGAAAAGTACAAATACCCAAGTAGAAAATCAGCATAAGACATGCATAAATAACCCACAAAAGAAGAAATATAAATGGCTGATGAACAGATTAAAAATATGAACACTCTCAGGATATAAGAAATGTTTAGAAGATGCATTTTAAACCTGGTATATTGGTAAAGATTTAAAAACAATACCTAGGTAGGTAAAGCTATATAATAAAATATATATGATATATTTTATAACTTTGAAAAACTAAGATCATGGCATCTGGTCCCATCACTTCATGGGAAATAGATGGGGAAATAGTGACAGACTTCATTTTTGGGGGCTCCAAAATTACTGCAGATGGTGACTGCAGCCATGAAATTAAAAGACGTTTGCTCCTTGGAAGAAAAGTTATGAACAACCTAGACAGCATATTAAAAAGCAGAGACATTACTTTGCCAACAAAGGTCCGTCTAGTCAAAGCTAGGGCTTTTCCAGTAGTTACGTACGAATGTCAGAGCTGGACTATAAAGAAAGCTGAGCACCAAAGAACTGATACTTTTGAACTGTGGTATTGGAGAAGACTCAAGAGTCCTTTGGACAGCATGGAGATCCAACCAGCCCACTCTAAAGGAAATCAGCTCTGAATATTCACTGGAAGGACTGATGTTGAAGCTGAGACTCCAATACTTCGGCCACTTCATGTGAAGACTTGACTCATTGGAAAAGACCCTGATGCTGGGAAAGATTGAAGGTGGGAGGAGAAAGGGACGACAGAGGATGAGATGGTTGGATGGCATCACCAACTCAATGGACGTGAGTTTTGAGTAAACTCCAGGAGTTGGTGATGGACAGGGAGGCCTGGAGTGCTGCAGTCCATAGGGTCACAAAGAGTCGGACACGACTGAGAGACTGAACTGAACTGAACTGAATACACTGATAAGTTACTGCTAACTATGCTGTAGTGCTGAAAACTGGAAGCTTTTTAAATTGTGTTTACCGTGTTCTCAAGTTTCTGTTATGAAAATGCAGTATTTGAGCAATCAGTACAAAGTTTCTTAAAAGTAAGTTTCTTAGATAAAGGACTGTTACCTGAGTTGTGAGGCAGGGTTGCCACTGTCCCAGGCATACATCAGGAGCCTCACCTGAGCCCTGTGCCTCAGGGGTGCGGAAGGGGTGATGAGGTGGCTTCCCTATAAACGAAATGAGGGAAAGGGAGTTTATCCCTTGTGTGCATATCACTTTGGTTCCTCCCTTGCTGAAAACAAATACTCAAGAAGAACAGCATGTGCATCTTTAAAACCAAAGTCACTTATCTTTTAAGAGAATTTGGGTGGGGGTGGTGAATGGACAGGTGTGAACGGTGCAACACACGCCAGCATTTCAGCAGACTTCAGAACACACAGAAACATTCTATAAAGGCACATACCCTTGACACAGCTTCTCAGAGTGGCAGACATGAGCACATCCATTAACAGACCCAAAGACATACCCTCTCTGCAGCATAGAAAAATAAGAAGCAAAAGTTTACATATGTATGGCTCAAGGATTATTCTTGTAATCAATGCTTCAGCAGTCTGCCTTAATCAGATATGATCTAGGCATCAAATGAACATTCATTTGTTAACTCAGTTTGGGTTATGTTACCTGAAAACCTTAGAAATTTATCTTTAAGCTGACATACTACAAGAGAGAAATTACCATTGAAATAACAGTTTTTCAGAATAATGAATTAATTTGGTTAAATACAAGGTTATTGAGGACCCCCAAGTTGTTTTTTTTTGTGTTTTTTTGGTGTGTGTGTGATTTATGCGAAAATTAATCATGGGATCCTCACTAAAATGGAGTTGGGAGGCCAGAAGGGGAGCTCTTACTCACATCCCATGCACATCAGTGCAGATCCCAACAGAAGAGACCACCTTGCATCTCTGGAAGGAAGTAACACTGCTGGCAGCTGGAGGAAGATTTTATCACTGCTTGGCAATGGCCCAGCCAATAAAAGCCACTGTGCTTTGAAGTTCCAATTCCTTCCAATGGACTCTGTTTTTAACAGCTCCTCCCAACTTCCCCTTCTCTATCAAAGAGGTTCCCCTCCTTTGCCTCAACATTACTTGCATGTGGTTCATTGTAGTTGCACGTCCCAAATTGCAATTCTTTGCTGCTCCTGAATAAATTCATTTGGCAGGTAAAATTACTGGCTGTTTTACTGTTTTTGGTTAATAACTATTGCTATTTACAATGTTGGAAACTGAAGCAGAGAAATTTTTCAAAAGCTTATTTCTCCATTCATTTAAAGATAATGATGATGGACATATTGCATGTTATTAACATCTGAGTAGTTATGAAGTTAGTTTTGCCACCGTGGTCCTTCTGAGATGAGGCCTAAAGTAATGTATGTTTTTTCCAGATGATAAAAAGACATATGAAGAACAACATTTGGAAATGAATATACTTTCCTTAGTTTATAATACCTCACTTTAAAGGCTATCAATTCTGAAGTTACAGAAATGGGTAACAAGACAATGAAAAGATGCTCAACATCGTTAGTCACTAAGGACATGCAAAATCAAAATCACAATGAGATACTACTTTGCACTTACTAGGATGGCTAAAATAAAAAAGACAGAGGACCTTCTCTGGTGGTCCTGTGGTTAAGACTCTGTGCTTCCACAGTAGAGGGCATGGGATCAATCCCTGGTCAGGGAAATTCCATATGCTACAGGTACAGCCAAAACAAAAACAAAAACAAAAAGACAGGAAGTAAGTGTTGTTAAGGATGTGGAAAATCAGAACCTCATATATTACTGGTGGGAAAGCAAAATGCAGCTACAGTCAAAAACTGTTTGGTGGCTCCTCAATGAGTTAAACACTGAATTACCATGTCACTGCAGCAATTCCATTTCTGGGTATATATCTAAAGAACTGAGAACACGTTGAAACAAAAACTTGTACAAGAATTTTCATAGAAGTATTATTCACAATAACCAAAAGACAGAAAAAAAAAAAACAAATCCCAAATGTCTATTACTAATGAATGGATAGACAGAGTGTAGTCTATCTATACAAGGGAATATTATTCAGCCATAAAAAGAAATGGAGCACCGACACACACTACAATGTGATCAAACCTCAAAAACATTATGTTCAGTGAAAGAAGTCAGACATAAAAGATCACACGATGCATGCTTCCATTTTTAGAAAATGTCTAGAAGACCAGAACAGTTTTCTTTGCTTTATGTTGACTTTATTGCATTTCATTATTAAAAACAAAGACACAAAGCTACCTCCTTTATGGGAGAACTAAAGTTCTTTACAATGACATTAACTTCTGTGTTTATTTTTAAATGTTTATTGTCACTTTCACCTGAGTAGACAAATACTGTTGTTTCCCAGGCATCTGTGATCCTATTTTAGTGTTCAAATCTCCTGACAGCCTTTGATAATTTTCCTTTTCAAACTGAATCCTAGGGGTAAAAATGAGATAAAACTTCCAGGATACTCTTTTCACCTAAAATTATCTTCATGCCTTGGAAAAATCACAAAGATTTGTTCTTATTAGTGTTAGAAATAATTAGGCTTATTTGAGGCATTATTATCCATGAGTTTCATGAGAAGAGTTGCTGAGTCTGAAGAAATGTTCAGTCAATCCCATTTAGTATTTGTTGGTAAAATGTTAGTCACATCATGTGTTTGAGGAACTTTCCAGAGATCTGTCAGGGTCCTGGGTGCCTGTCAGGTTTTTCTTCATCAGAGTCCTAAAGTATCTGCCCACTCTATGGCCATACCACCCTGAACGTGCCCGATCTTGTCTAAAGTATCTGCCCAGTGCCATGAGGGAACAGGGGCATAGAGCTTAAAAATTGGTAGACTCAGTCACTGTTTTAAATATTTACCTGGTCACAACCCGCCTTCTTTAACTTGAATCCAGCGTTCTGGAGGCCAGGAGTTTGCAGCTGGGCCTTCACATCTCATACTTGGTATGCAGATGGTCAGGACCTGCCCCACAACTCCTGACTCTCTGCTTGATAGTCTTGGTACATTATGTTTCAGGATTATTTTGTGTCATATCGCAGGAATTTTTCCTCTATAAAAATTATGTTCATTGATTTTTAGAAATTAGATAAGAGTGTTCACAGTCTTCTTTAAAAACAGGCATAAACATCTTAGATTAACTTTATCTAAAACTTTTTTTGGGGGGGGCTTTGTTTTGCATGGCACAGAAACAACCAAATATAACTTCTCAGTGGCACTTTTCTTGTTATGAACTCCCATCAGATCTTTCACTTTTGAAAATTATCAGTAGTATAAGTTAACCATGACCATATTATGTCTTTGTCATCCATTTGGACCAAAAAAAACCTGTGGTCTGCCATTTCAATAAACAGAGAATACTGCCTGCAAACAAGCAATCAGCTGCTGCAGCTGTCCCAACTGTGCACCCTAATGGGATTCAGAATGGACAAAAACAGGATATTGGCCCTAGAGAATTCAGATGCATATCAGAGGAATGGTTTCAATGGGCCCAGACTCTTGCATCTTCCCATATATAAAAAGGCACTAAAATCCTCGAGATGTCTGTTTTTTTTGTGATTAGTAGTAATCTTTCATTGTTTGGCTACATATATATTGTTTTAGCAAAAACTCCTTCATATCCCGTTCTCCTATTTGACCTGTGTAGAACAGTCTCTCAGAGCCATCAGATAGGCCGCCTTCCTGGACTGTTGTTCAGCTGCCAAGTCGTGTCCAACTCTTTGCAACCCTATGGACTGTAGCACATCAGGCTTCCCTGTCCCTCACCATCTCCTGGAGTTTGCTCAAGTTCATGTCCATTGCATTGGTGATGCTGTTCAACCATCTCATCCTCCTCCTCTCTTCCTGCTTTCAATCTTTCCCAGCATCAGGGTCTTTCCCAACTAGCTGGCTGCTTGCATCAGGTGGCCAAAGTATTGAAGCTTCAGCTTCAGCAACAGTGGACTGTAGTCCTCAGGAATATTCTTGAATAAAACCTAATTCTCCACTTTTAGATTGTGCATTTTCTCTTCAGTGAACAACTATAAAGAGTTTGGTTTACTTTAATGAAAAGAAAAAAAAAAGAGAGAGAGAGAAATAGAAGAAAAAAGAGAGTCAGGCCAGCACAGTGGGAAAACACTGTCATGGGCATTGCTTAGACCACCGTGAGGCCATCCAGTGGCCTGACTCAGGATTTCCAGAACTCTAGTAAAGCAGCAGATGGATTGTTGAGATTTCAGAACCAAGACAGAGTAAATAAGGATTAATCACCTAGGACTGAAGAAACCGGCAAGGGACAATGCAGCTGCTACTGGGAACACTGTACATGTGACTTTAATGCTCTTTCTAGACACACAAGGAACCCTTTCTCTTTCCCCTTAAGCTGTCTGTGGTGGTGGTTTTAGTTGCTAAGTCATGTCTGACTCTTTGCAACCCCATGGACTGTAGCCCACCAGGCTCCTCTGTCTATGGGATTTCCCAGGCAAGAATACTGGAGTGGGTTGCCATTTCCTTTTCCAGGGGATCTTCCTGACCCAGGGTTGAACTCGAGTATCCTGTATCTCCTGAACTGGCAGGTGGATTCTTTGCCACTGAGCCATCTGGAAAACCCTTAAGCTGTCTGTAATCCACACAAATTTAGTGGCCTCTGGTTTTATAAACTGAAATGAAACATTTCTAAGTGGTATCTTGTTCTCTTAAATCTGAGCCCTCCAGAACTTGGAAACTCTTGTTAGTACTCTTCCTTTCCTGGCAATATAATAATCTGTGTAGGTTCAAAGGGAATCTGTTCTTGTTTCTATCAGGATTTAACTGGCAACATGGATTGCGCAGCCAAGGCCTTGCCTGGGTGGCCACAAGGGAGAATGATACTCATTCAATCACCAGGACCCAGCATGTTTAAGGATCTGCAGCTCAGGGATCGAGGCTCACAAGGCCCCCCCAGGAAAACTGCCAGGTGCCAGCCTCATAGGGGGATAAGGAAGTTCATCTCCTGGCAAGTCCAGGAGCCTCAGGATATTCCGGAAAGCTCAAGAAAAAAGGAATTTGCTTGAAATAATCCAGCAGGTGAAACATGGTGGGTTCTTGGTTTCCCGGACTCAGGACAACAAATAAGATGCTTTCAAAAGTACAACCTGAAATCCTGACGGTAACTTCCAGCAAAGCAAACTCAAGAAGGCCAACA